CGGGAGCTACCTGCTTCCCACCGACCCTCCCGCCTCCCCCTCGCCAGGCAGCCCGTCCGGAGCCTCCTCGCGCCGGTCCTCCTCGCCCTCCAGCCCGTGCTCCGAAGGGGGGGGGCGGGAGTGCCTCACCTCGAACATGAGCCCGAGCAGGAAGACCATGGCCATGCAGGAGACGATGTCCGCGTGGTTCTGCACGACGAACTCATGGCTGAGCACGGGAGGGTTCTTGTTGCTCTTCTTGCGGATCCCCATGGCGGGCACAGCAGAGGGCGGCCACCACAGCCCCGCTCGCGCTCTCTGCGGCGGGGCCCGGGAGGCGGAGGAAGCCCAGGCGAGCGCCCCGCCTCTCCTCCAGCAGCAGCCGCCGCCTCCTCCTCCGCTAGGAGCCTCCACTCCTCGCTTCACATCTCCCCGCCCCGAGACAGAAGGCCGGTCCCATTGTGATAGCCGCTGAGGAGCCGGCAGCGCCACCTGCTGCCCAGGAGGACCAATCAGGGAAGCGTGACGTGACGTGAATTGTTATGCTTCTCAACCGCTTGCGCGCAATAATAGGTAGAAGGCGCGTCACGCCCCGCCTCAAGCCAATCATGGAGCGCTCGGGCGGACGTTTGGCCAAAAAGTCGCCCTCGACAAGCCATAGAGTTCTCTGGCTTGACTAACGCACACACCGACAGGCCAGCTAGCTTCCGCTTTGATTTGGGATCTCCATTTTACACTGACTGGGTGGCAACCAACCCCCCCATCGCGGGCCGGCTGCGGGGAGCGGGGGGCGGGGGTACAGCTGTGGTGGTGGGGGGTGGGGATGAGTGAATGGCAGTCGACGTACCATTGCTGCAACGCAAGGTATTTATGGGTGCGTTTGAATGTATTACCACTCTTGCCGCATGGTTTGTTTGCAACACGAATAGGTGAACGTTTCAGGCGACTTAGTAAAATCAATCCAGTTGAATTATTTGTGTGGCCCTTTGCTGTGTAATTTACATGTCGTTAATTCTAGCGCCATAATTGGCAACCAGTTAAAGTGGCTTTAAACAGCGTTTTTTCCTAGCGTTGAATCCTTTTCCCTTGCAACACCCGCAGTGCACCTTCACAGGTCTCCCAATTAGGCCATGTAAAACGGGCATTTTACACCTTCAGCCACCATTTACATACAAAACATAAAGGTGATCCCATGTGTACAAGGGAGGATTGAGACGCTGCTGACAACAACTGTTATGCTTTTCATTGGAGATCTATTCTGCAGAAGGCATTGTAAAATGCCTTTGGCACCTGTTTCCAAGATGGGGTATTAACAAAGGGCTGCATTACAGCACTCACTAGCAAAAAGTCACTCTCAGTCACCAGCACATGCCCCTCCCCTACAACAATTCAGTATATCCCAAATTGTGCTGGGGACAACAGTAGAGTGCCTTGCACAGGTGGCATTAGTTATGAAAGCCCAGACTATATAAAATGTATGAAACATTCTCTTGTAGTAGTGAAATGCTTTTCAAGGCAAGGTTTAACATTGTCTTAGCTGTTCTTTCCTCCCTCAAAAGCTGCTCATCGATGAGAGACCATACATAATAGTGGATAATTACAGTTTATATATTATTGACATAAACAGCTCTCAAATCCTTTGGTGACATTTCTTCATTAGCTTATAAGAGAACCTGTTCTCTTTGTGGAAGCAGCCAATAAGTGAAATTTGCTGAGTTTGGGATGATGTGGAACTTACATCATAATGCTGCTGCTACTAGTGTTTACATATCTGTCTGCAATCCCTGGCAGTAGCACTTTCTTCCCATACTATGCATTGGTGCTAAAGTGTTCTAGAATGGTATGGCTTTTATCCAATGAGCCCTCTACTCATATAGCACAGACACTGCAAACCACCACCAGATTTATGGCAAAAGCTTTGTTATCTGACAGTTGTGGGGAATGGGGGCTGCTCGTGGGGGGTTGCAAGTGTGCCAGATGCTCAGGCATTTTCTAGCAGAGGCAGCTTGAGGCAGGCTGAGAGGGAAGGAGGTACCAGAGGATGACATCAGCTGGCAATGACAAGTTGTCAAAAGCCCAGCTGGGTAGCTAGAGAGGTAGCAGTGGGACACACATGCACCCAAAGATACAGAGGTAGGATGGTTGAAGCGGGAGGAGCTTTTGCCCTCTGTGTGATGCTGGTTAACGGAACATTCTGGAAAATCAAGTACTGTATAACAAAGCTTTTAACTGTACTATTTACTACTGATGGGATACTGATACTTCAAAGAAGAGTTCACAGAGTAATTCTCCTGTCAACAACTTCATTTTATTTTTCATTCTTCATTTCACTTATTTAATTCTGCTCTGCAGAAAAATAAATCTTTCACAGAAGAATATACTTAAGCACTCAAGCACTTTTTATAACTTTTTACCAACAAGGTGATTTCAGAGCTTTGAAATTTCACAATATAGAGAAACGTGTACACCATCACCATGCTGCTTGTGCATCATATTTATAAACTGCTTTTCCACCTCAAACTGGGAGAAAGGTCATATACTGTAAAAAAACCACAAAGACGACTAAGCAAGGTACCCCCCGCAAATCTCTGTCATGTAAACAAACTTGTCTCATAGCCCACACAAATCTCTATGCAAACATAAATCTCTGAACTCAAGCAGCAGGAAACCTAACAACCTTGAACTGCTTTGATTTTAAAAAGACCAGGGACACAAATTATACCAGAATCCTTTAGCTTGCTATTGCATGTTTATGTGTAAGTACATTAGTACTTTCCACCAACATTCTTAATATCTATGACTTTTTAAAAGTGAAAAAAAGATCCAGGGGTCCTTGTGAGAAACCCCCCCCCTCTCCATTAACATGAATCCTTAATAAACTAATGTCGACTGTGACCACAGAACAAATAGTTGGGATGTATGCACAAATCATTGATCAGTTTGGGCATTTCTTAGGCCAATACTGTATGCTCCCAGAGAAGATCCGCAGGGCCTGCAAGACAGAGCTCTTCTGCCAGGCGTTTGAGTAGGGGCCACCACGACTGTTACCATCTGTCTACGACCATTACTATCTGTCCTAGACCTTATTACCAACTCGCCGTGAGTGCAAAGCTTGGAGCTGTGGCCACTAAGGATACCATCCTGATGATGTCATCCTGATGATGTCATCTGTTCCCTTGTTAGTTGTTGTGGAGAGCACTTATGTTGTACTGAATGTTTTTAAAATGCAGTTTTAATGTTTTATGTATTGGGCATTGGCCCCATCTGTACGCCGCCCTGAGCCCGTTCACGGGGAGGGCAGGTTATAAATTTAAATAAATAAATAATTCTGTGTGATCAAAACTGACCCCTTTATCTGTCACCCTTGTGAGCTCTATGGATAAAAGATTTTTTTTAATAACAAAGTATAAATGAATTCTTCTTGTGAAAGTTGACTATAACCACTTCAATTACTACAAAATTACTAAAAAATTAGGAGAACAAAGTTTGAGCCCAGCGGCACTTTTAAGACCAACAAGGTTTTATTCTGGGCATAAGCTTTCATGTGCATCCACACTTCTTCAGATACACTTGAAACAGAACTCGCCAACCATCACATATAGGGTAGAGGATGGGGAGGGGTTTTGCCAGGAAGGGCTAATTAGAGGCAACATGAGGATTTCATGTATCTATGGCTTATCCTGCAACACCTGTACATATTGTTAAGATCCAAACTTGCCATCACTTCCCACGCTACATAGATTTTTAAAAGCAGGTTTGTTTCTAGTGCACGTGCAATATCACTTATACATTCAAATACAAGAGACACACTAAGCATGAATAGGCAAGTGAACTATCATGCAATTTTACATATTCATTAGAGACATGAATTTAGCTCTCCTGTGTATGTTCTTATTTTTTGGCTTGGTTTGATGATTAAAGCATGAGACCAAGATCTAAAACACACAGGTTCAAATCCCCATTCTGTCATGAAGCTTACTGAGTGGCCTAGCTCCAGTCACATTCTTTCTACCTAATCTACCTTGCAGGGTTGTTGTGAAGGTAAAATGGAGGAGGGGAGACCAATGTATGCTGTCCTGAGCTCCTTGGAGAAAAGGCAGGACAAAAATGTAGTCAGTTACAAGCTGTTTCAGAGCTGTTCTCTCATGAGCAGTTCTCAAAAGAGCTTTCTCAGCCCCACCTACCTCACAGGGTGTCTGTTGTGGGGAGGGGAAGGGAAAGGAGATTGTAAGCCACTCTGAGACTCCTTCAGTAGTGAAGGGCGGGGTATAAATCCAATCTCTTCTTATACATAAATAAATGTAACCCCTTTTAATATTTACTCCAGGTCCTAAGAGCTACCTACGCCATAGAAAACCCTGATTTTTTAAGTATTCCTTATCACAGAAAAAACATATATACAAACAACTTAATAAAAAAATAATATACTTTTAGAATGCAGCAGTTGCACATCAAGGACAAAACTACTTACACACTTTTCCTTCTTTTTCTAGTTTCTTCAAGTGATGTGTAAGATTAATTTCTGCTGCTTTATGCAAGTGCTCAGGCGTGTCCTACATAGAAACAACAACACATGATTATGCATTTAAAGGCAATATTTTCCACATACATATAGGATTTGTCACTGTCTTATGTGAACAGAGAAGGACCATCTTTCCCCAAATGAACTCCTGCCGGCTGCCGTAATTACGCTCCTTAGAGCAGAGTCTCCAGGAAGTCCCCTCACTCTTAAGCCTGTGGGGTATGATGCTCAGGACCCAGGCCTTTTCTGCCACCGCTGCACAATTATGGAACAGACTCCCAGAAGGAGTGTCGCGGCGGCTTTTTGGGGAAGCTGCAGAACAGAATTATTTAAAAGTGATTGGGGGGCAGCTTGAATGGGTTTTGGCTTAACTGATTCCCGTTTATTAATTAACCTGCATTGGGATTGTGTTGAGAAAGGTAGGTTATACCCATGTCCTAAATTAATAAACCAATATCGTGATTTTTATAAAGCAATTTTATTCTTCAAGCCACCTTGGGGATACATTATATTAAAAGGTGGGATAAAACTTTCAAATAAACTAATAAGGCATCCTATTAATGTGACCGCAGCAAGGTTTTTTTAAAAAAAAACATACTCTAGTGCTAAGAACAGAACTGAGCCATAGTTAAGCAAAGTAAAGCATTTCTGAGTACTTGACTTCTTGACAAAAAGGGGTGGTGGGGTAGTATCCTATAATAATTGGTTGGAGTCTAAAGACCTGTATAAACTCACACTGTGTAAGCTCAAGAGGCATGTTTTTTCCACCTTTGAATAACTGATTTCTATACCAGATCATTAACTGCTTATGCCAAATCTCCACCCCCTACTCTGTAAAATAGCTGTAAGCTGTAAGTAATGTCACTGAGAGAAGAAATTTCATGGCTCCCTGGATTCTGGCTACTGCTCTTAGATTCCTATTATTCGTTATCTCACAGCATTAAATAGCCCTTTTATGTTACTACTGTAGTCTTCTTCCTTTCAGTATATGGGTTAGATATAGACTATATTTTCCATCAGCCAAATGGAGTTTTCCTGCCTCCCCATTTCCAAAGCAGCACAGTGAACCCCACAAAATGCTGCTCTTGGGGGATAAGGGTCCCTGAGGAATGACATGAAGGTTAACAGTGGGAAGAGGGAACTGGTGGGAATTACCAATTTAGTATGGATCCAGCTCAGTATGTTAGAAAACCTTGTAATTGCAAATGCAAACTTCTTATTGCAGTCATATTATGGAAAGACTTCAAAGCTCCTTGTTCTCTTTTCCTAACCTTCATTTGATGGTGTACGGTAGGCTTTGCAATTGTATACATAGCCTGATTTTCAACAATTCTGCTGGTGTATTTGTTATAAAAATAAAACAGAAGTCCAGTGGCATCTTAAAGACTAACCACATTTATTCTAGCATGAGCATTTGTGAGTCAGAAGAAGTGACCTCTGTTTCTTGAAAACTCACGCTGAAATCAGTGTTGTTAAGTCTTTAAAATACCACTGGACTTCTGTTTTATTTTGCTACAATACGCTAACACAGCTAACCGTCTGGAATTATTTGTTATAAAGCCCTTGTCAAGCATCAATGATGCTAGAACTGTATCATGTCTTGCATTAGTGCAGCTGGTTACACATACCATAACGTATGCTGAGGTAGTATATTATGGAATTAATTTAACACCTATCTATCTATAGCCTTGCTAAGTAGGAAGGATATATAGCTTCTACTTTTAATTTCTTTTGCACAGAATGTTTATCATTATATTAAGTGGACCATATGACGAACAGCTAATACAAAAAGTTTTTGGTGGCTGCCCAGAAGAAACATGTCTGGCAAAGGTAAAGTTAACTGTTTGTGTTCCAAGTTTCCATTCTGCAGTCCTGAAACTTTTTGTTTATTGCCAACAAACAAGATATCCCTGAGTGATTTTTTAATTTTAATCTTTTTATATACTGAGTTAAAAAAATCTTACTATTCTGTTGACAGCTTACCAAAAATAATTTGGTTTGGTAGAGTTAATAAAGTCATTATTGTCCTACAAAAACAAAATAGCAGCTGGCCAAACTAACCTGCCTTGCTATGCTGATTCTGTAAAATATGCATATTTCATCATAAAAACTGTTCCCTGTGAAATGTTAATTCTATTTCAAAACACACCTTCCACTTTGGTAGAATCTGGAAATCTAGTCCTAAGCTGTTTATCACCTAGAAAAATACCTTGTATACAATTTTCACAAGTTCTTCGATTTGAAAAGATTTCCCAGTATTCTGTTGCAGGGTATTCAAGATTTGCTTTTCACGTGCATTTCTGTGAGAAATGTACTCTTGGACTTTAGCTTGTGCCTCATTTACTACTGGACCATGTCCTATAAGAAAAAGAAGTTACACGAGACATGTTTACAAATTACTGTTGCATGGATAACTTCATCCCGCCTTGAAGAGTATGTTCCCTAACCAACACATAAAATGGAATTCTTCACTTAAGGCACAAAAGGAAGACGTTGCAAGACTATCACATATGGATCTGATCAGTTCCAATTTTATTTTGTAGCACAGCATAAGTGAATTCAAAAGTATTATTAGCTTAATGCCACAAGACGCAGTTTCCATTGCTATCCACAGCACAAAGTTTAAATACAAGCTTTTAGTACAGTGTTAGAGCAGATGAGGTCTTCACACTGATGGTGCTATAAAATATAAGATTAATCTTTAACTATGGAATTCAGAACAGAAATGTTTTGTTCAATATGGGAAAACATATGCCCTCTAGTGGCCACAGTAGTTTTCACAATGCAGGTAGTTAAATAGAGGCAAACTGTTTCTTAATCAAAAATCAAATATAAGTAACCTCTGATGATTTTTTAAAATACAAAGCAAGTGATGGGAGGGGGATATTGAGTAGTAGACAGGGAGGGGTGTCAGAGGAAGGTCTGCTCAACCCTTCTGCTGCCAGCTGGGTTTTTTTCTCATTCCAAGTTCCCTTCCCCATTGCTTTTCCCTTGCAGAGTTCCAGATGTTTGTTTACAAGGATCAACACGCATCTGGCACTCAGCAAAGGGGATAAAAGCAGAGTTTGGAGCATAAATATAGCCAGCAGGGAAAGGATTAAACATTCCCACACATTTCCATGCAAATCTACGCAGCTACTTTTCATTTTGGAAAGGAAAAAAAAATTAAGGCTTCCTTTTTCTATGTTTAACAGGTAGTTTTGTTCTTCAGTGGCATACATATCTGAATAAATATGCTTATCACATTGAATGCAGCCCTTCATCCAAAGATTTCAAGATGACATAGAATGGATTTGGATTATCTCACTAGACCTTCACTAACAAAACGTGGGGGATAGTAAAGGTATTTCACAAATTATAAAAATACATGTAGCATACATCTTGTATTCAACATGTTTTGTTCATGTTCATACACTGCAGTCATTTTTAGACTGTCAGCAAATTTCACAAGGTCAAAACTACAGGAATATTTATCAAGACAAGCAAGCTACTCCATATACATGTTTATCATTTAAACAATTTTAAAATAGTGTCATGCAGTGCATTCCCTTTTTTTAATCTGTCACTTATTTTCTTAAGTATCCAGAGAATAATTTGTGGTAGGACTTAGAAGATCTCAAACAAAAGCTGAACTCTATCTGATCTCAAACAAAAGCTGAACTCTAGCTCTGTGCAAAATATTTTAAAGGAAGCGAGTACAGTGTCATTTGTTCCAAGATAATAAACTAGATTTCCAGTCTGAACAGGATGATATTAAAAGAATTCCTTGTACACCAAGAGAGGAGGACTTCCCATACCACGAAAATCCAGTGATCAGCAAAGAGCTGTAGGATGGATCCAGTGAGCACTGGGTACATACAAGACACCATCAGGAATTTTGGCATTGGCAATGAGGAATGTACAAGTGGAACACAAGAACTGTTGGTTTAATTATTCAAGTGAAATGCGATACTAACCAGGGTATATTAAATCAGTTTTCATTGCCAGTAGCTTTTCCAGTGATTTCATATAATCATAAAGGTCTTCAAACACTGCTGTCCCTTCTCCTAAAATACAGTCACCAGAAAAGATAGCATTTTCTTCTATGAGATGTAAAGCCATGTGATCATCTGTATGTCCAGGTGTATACAACACTCTAAAAAAGAGAGAGAAAGGAGAGCATCTGCCATTATGCATCACAGATGGCATGCAAAATATTCTACAAAATTAATATATCCTGCAGAACAGAAGATCAATAGATTAACAGAAAAGAAGAAACACATACTACACAATTAAAAGTAACTTGGATAACCGAAACTCTCATATTTTTATGACAATCCAGAACAATATAAAATCAAGTTGTTCAGATTCTGCGTGATATTCTGCATGGTCATCAGAGGATGAATGAGTGGTCAGTCCATCTCTGCCTGAACTCAATATAGTTTTGTAATAGCAACACACATCAGTTTTAAAAATCTTCAACATAAAGAGACTGCATATACACAGTAGTCAATGTATAAAATTAACATTTACCTGAGAGTAGCACCCTCTGTCTTGACAACATCTCCATCTTTCAGGTATGAATACTTTTGCTTTTTTCCTCCTATTACTTCTTCATGATGTGGGTTACGGGGAAGTTTGCTTATGCAATATTCAGAAGCTATTTTTTAAAAAAAGAAAGAACAAATTTCATACCATGTTTAGCAGCCATTGGTACACTGCAATGTTTTAGAAATATTTCTGAAGAAGAAACCACACTGAGGTTTTAAACATGGAAATTAAAATATATTGATGTGTTTTATATTTTGAAGTAATTATGTTGATTTCCAGTTAAGCTATTTATATATTAATATTGTTCCATACACACATGTACATATAGTTCACAGACACAAAAACATCTGAAGGACATGTCTTGTATCAGCAGCACAACTAAGGAGACATCAATAAAACTTGTGGCTCACAGCATCCAGCCTAGCATCCATACAAGGGAATAACCTGATTTCCTGATCCAGTCCCAGGACATAGCTCAGCTGCAGTTTACATAGTTGGACCACAGTCCAAGTTCAGGGGGCTCTTATTCTTTCGTGGTGGAAGGCAAACTTTGCATAGATATTCTCCACTGTGTATGGCAAAGTTCTGCCTTTTTAATGAAAGGAGAATGGAAGTCTCTGAATCCCAGTGTGAGGAGGCAACATCAGGAGAAGGTCTTGGCCTCTATGCTGTGTTGTTGACCCTCCAGAGGAACTGGTTGGCCACTGTGTGAGAAATGGATGCTGGACTATATGGACCAGCAGGGCTCTTCTTTTGTTCTTAAACTCACATGTAGGCAGCTATCTACAGGCCACAAGCAACTCTTGTGCGGAAAGTTGCTGTAACAGAAGATTGCTGAGTTTCTCCTGTCTGCATAACACTACAGGAGTGACCCCTCAAGTATGCACCTAACTGTCCTGATTGGAGCCTCAGTTTGCAGTCACTGTACATGCACTCCTTTAGATGCATGGCTTGTAAGCATCCAGCAGTCTGCCAAATTTCTGCCTCATATGATACAATGGAAACTGCTTTTGAAGCCCCCACAGTTTAAAAAGTAATTTATGATGAGGTATAAAGAGGCATTAGGAGCCAGGTCAGGTTGAAGACCGATGTAACGTAAAAAAATAAACTGAGTTTTGCAGCACTCTAAATATAGTTTTCTTTCTAGGCTCTTCCCCCCGCCCCTCTTCTGTAGGCTTTCAGTCTGATTGGGGAAAACAGAGATGTGGAAGGGGCCCATAGGTTAGTGCTTATTCACCTCCTCGCTAGCATGAGATTTTTATTTATTTATTTCAATTTCTATCCCACCCTTCCCGCAAGCGGGGATTTTGTTAAGAAATTAAAGAGGAAAGAAGATTGAAAGAGAGGGACTGATTTTTTAAAAGAAAAGAGACACACATATATGTCACACATGTCACTTTTTAAGAAAGGCGTGAATCACATGGGAAGGGACGAGACCAAGCCTGATCAGTGTTTGAGGTTTTTTCAGTGTGCTGCATTTGGAATATGTTGCAATGTTGTGACATCTGGGATGAGCTGTGATTGCGCTGGCTGCGAAAAATGCTTTACTGTACTATGTTAATGATGTTGTCCAACTGTGCATGAAACTAGTTTATTATACTTTTTTAGGGTATTTCTGTGCCCCATCTTTAGAGGCCTGAAGTTGCACAGCTCTCTGCAATATTATCATGAAAAAGGAGCAGCTGTCTTAGTTTTTCTTTCTGTTCGAACCACCCCTCAGTTCATTGTTATACCGATGTACTTACCACTTGGAATGTTTTTACAGATATCAGGTATGCCTCCTGTGTGGTCATGATGCCAGTGTGTCACCAAAATTTCCTGGATTGAGACACTGAATTCTGTGAGTGCTTGTTTCAAACAGCCAATATATTCAGGAACAGCAGGTTCCCCTGTATCAATAAGGATCCTTCTATATTAAAGGCAGACCCCACCCCCAAGACATAGATATAAGCACAAAAGCCAAGGCACGCTTAATAGGAAACAAGATGGCAATCAGCCTTTGGATCACATTAACACACAACCAAAGATTTCCTTACTGCAGGATATTGCAGTCTCTTTGCAAAAAGGGACAGCACGAAGACACACACCCCTTTAAAAATGTTATTTGACATTACTGCATCACATACACAATGCACCTAAGAAAGTACAGTTTGAGAGGGGAAATGCCAGGAAATAGAAAGGCTGGCAACAGTGTGAGGATGATGGTAGAACTACTCTGGGAAACCAGAATGCACCATCATGTGAAGGGGAGAATGGGGAGTTATTAGTAAACTGCAGGGCTTATGGGTAAATGGAAAAGTACCATGTACTTTCAAAGGTGCCAGGAAGAGACACAAAGAGAAAACAGATTGAGAGCCTATAGGATTGTCGGGGGGGGGGGGGCGTATTCAGCCTGTTTCTGAGCATCTCTGGTGGCATGTATAAAGGAGAAACAGTACAAAACAACTAAGCTGCAAATGGCCAGGTGCTGAAAAACAGTGCACTTGAAAAGCTGACTTTGCATGACGTGGACCCAAACTTTATCGAGCCCCCAGCAAGTGGACAGGTACAGACATATTCCGCCCCCGGTCTTCTCGGTCCACCGAACAGGCAGGACTCCAGCGCCTTTCAAAGCAGCGTGAGAGGCACAGCCAGGAGGTGCGCCGGGTCATATGGAAATCTCCCCCTGCTGAACTGCTGCCTGCCTTGTTCTTATTAAAAGCCCCCCAAGCCTGCCAGGGAGCAGCCGCTTCTCTCTACTCCTGGCCCGGTTCTCGTTTCCCGAGAATGTATCTCATCTCACACGAAGTAGTCAGCTACTCGCTGACTGTCGCTGAGGCTTAAGGGAAGAAGTCAGCCCAGGTGGTGATTGTGGGTCGAATCCCACCCCCACCCCGCTTTGCAGCTTTCACGTGACGCGGGGGTGGAAGGGGGAAAGTTCACTCACTCCCGGCGGGAGCAGAGCCCACTTTAGAAAGTCCCCTCTCGCCCCTAGTCCTGCCCGGAGGCCGCTGTTGCGTCCTACCTGGGCCCAGTGCCCACCAAATAGGTATTGGTGCCCTGCAGGGTCATGGGCCCCGGGTTGCAGCCTAGCACGCGAATCACCCGAGACGACAGCCTCTCCACCCGCGGCAGCACGGACACCATCTTCGCGTCCAGACAGCGCCTGCTCGGCCCAACCACCGAGCGCAAGAAAAAGGGGTTCCACCCGGCCTCTCTTGAAATAATGGCTCTGCCTTTCCTCCCAGCCACGCCCACCAAGGGGTGGGGGAATTAAAGGACTCTGAGCGCTGCTGTACTGGGTTTAGTGGGCATGCGTGGATTGCTCTTTTAAAATCCGGACTCTCTTTAATCCTAAATGTTAAGTCGTGCGCTTAACAAAGAGTCGGAGAGTGATTTCAGCAAGAATGCGGTTTATTCTTCAGCTCAGTTACTTCTCCGTTACAATCGCCAGCCAGAACCCATCAATTCAAGTATTTACACTGGCTTGTCTATATTTAAACACTCCCGGCTAATGTAGCCACACCCACTGTACAATAAAGCAACCTATGAGGTTGAAGCAATAAGGACCAATCACAAGCGATCCCGCTCTGCACGGTGATTGGCAGACACTTTCTGGGCTAGGGCTCCTATTGGTTACATTAGGATCCTAGCCCAGGATGAAGCTCAACATGGCATCTCAATCAGGCGATTCACACATCAGTATTTACAATAAGGACCAATCACAAGCAATCCCGCTCTGCACGGTGATTGGCAGACACTTTCTGGGCTAGGGCTCCTATTGGTTACATTAGGATCCTAGCCCAGGATGAAGCTCAACATGGCATCTCAATCAGGCGATTCACACATCAGTATTTACATTCAAGACTCTATGGCACAGTTCACATAGCAGTTATATATACAATTCAATACATAACAAATCCCTCCCCCCTAAGCAAAAACACTATGTACAGTCATATTCGCTTAGATAGGTGGGCACTCTGCGTATTCGCTGAGACCTCCGCGGCGTAGGAGGTTCAGGGCACCTTTGAATTGGGGGCACTTGGCTTGACTCACTCTCGAGTGGGTCATGTACGCTACCATCCCTTGCAGCGGGTCCAAGAGTAGGGGTCTGCCCTCCCTCAGGGACAGTACTGGGCTCGGCAGGCTCAGCAGTACTCACCTCCGGCAGAGGTATGGGATAGACATCTGGGTCCGGTAGCTCAGTTGGCTGCGAGGTGGGGCGGCCAGTCGCCCACCGCTGCCT